TTGAGTTCCTTAAAGATGGAGAAGGACGAGGCCTCAAACTGCCAAATCTAGTGGACATGGCAGCTCAGGTACGCTGCAGCAGGTGGTGTTAAATGTTGATGCTGCACACTGTGTTTTTGTTTCCAGAGAGATTTATTAACTGTAACCATCTCCAGCTGTTACCAATTCATTCATTTTAGCTCTGTGTGCCACATTTACTTCCATCTTGATGTTAAGAAGAGGTTTGCAGTTTCATCAGGCAACCACTCATTGTAAAATACTTCCAAAATGGAAGTATTTTAAAATATTAAACTCACCAGTTTGGCTGGTCTGCAATGAATGTATTTTAAAGACAATTTGGATAACAAATAACCTTAAATTAGTGATTTAGCATTAGCGCATTTGAGCACTCAAATCAGCAGTTGTTTTATTCTGAAGATGTAATTGATCACTCCGGTGAGTTGATAAGTGATATCGATCTCTCTATAAGAGACATCCTCTCTATTTCGGGGCCATTTTTATGGCTCATTAAATGGTTGTAAATCTACATAGCAAATATTGCTCCAGCCCTGATTAATTCACCTTGACACTGTTCATTGAGTATAAAATAAAACATAACTACATTTCCCAGGTGGCTGCGGGCATGGCGTACATCGAGAGGATGAACTACATCCACCGAGACCTGCGCTCTGCCAACATCCTGGTCGGGGAAAGTCTGGTGTGTAAGATCGCTGACTTTGGTCTGGCCAGGCTCATCGAGGACAACGAATACACAGCAAGACAAGGTAGGAGTACGTGGTCGCATTAGCTCCTTGCTAAATCCATCTTGTTTTTTGTGTCAAATCGTGGGGCTGTTTTCCCCTGATTGTACACCAGGAGGACTTCATTTTAAATATGTAATGTTTCATCTTAGGCCCTCTGCAAACTGACTTTGAGCGAGATAATGGAGTTGTTCAGTTTTGTTCCCCTAGTGGGACGTTATTACTTATGCCCCAAATGAAATCTCAGATGAAGGAAAAGGTTCACGCAGGAGGAGCTCGACCTACTTACTCGCTCCGGTTTTGGTAAATCCTGTTGCTTTTATTTCTCTTTATTTTCGAAATCAAAAACCACGACGTTGTACTTCTTACAAGGTGCAAAGTTTCCGATAAAGTGGACCGCTCCCGAGGCGGCTCTCTACGGGAAATTCACCATCAAGTCGGACGTGTGGTCGTTTGGCATCCTGCTGACGGAGCTTGTGACCAAGGGCAGAGTGCCCTATCCAGGTGAGTGAGCAGCTCTGTGGATTATATAATCGCTTTCTCTCAACCGCAGCATGGCTTATATTTCATTAATGACCAGTGCGTGAGAGTGTTTCCGTGTGCTGAGACACGAGCAATGGGTACGTAAGCTAAAAAAAGAGCGGCATGTTGCATGATGGATATTTCATCATGCATTATGCACGAAGCATTTTTCTAGGCCTATAAACACGTCAAATGGATTACGTGCTATACACATTTCACATTATCTATCAGAAAAGAAAAAAACAGTTAAATTCTTTAACCATTTGAATTATGTTGAATGTAGTCACTTCTATACACTCCTATTTCTGATTATGTTTTTTTTCATATATTTGAAAATGTGGGAATCCACCAAACATTGTGTACTGTGTTAATGTAATGAGCGAATATGAAGAAAATAAATGAAGAAAATAGAACTCCAATTGGGTTTATTTGTCGCATACTCAAACATAGAGTGAATTTCTTTTGTACCCGGCTCCAAAAAGCAACTAACGAAATTAGTAAAATATTATTGTTTTTTTTATCTTGAGAAACAATGATAGTACATTTCAGAGATATGGAACATTGGAATGATGAAACATCATAATGGTAGATTTAAACTACCATAACTGGTGCAAATATCGTATACAATGTAGAGTCAGCGGTTTCGATTATGTATATAAAAAAAACCTTCTTAAACTCTGATCTATTGCTATCGGAGTCCTTCTCAAAAGTGTAGTACTGGTTGGACTTTACAAGACTTCTAATTACAGTTATTCTGAGTACTTTCTATTACAGGATAAGGTTTGAAAACAATCCAAACTCAAAGGTCCACTTCTTCATTGTTTTAAAAGATGAAGCTCATGAAGAAGCCGGTCAATGAGACAAAGTGATGTGCGGTTCTTGTTCGAAAGCCGAGTCTTCAGACTCATTTTCAATCACTTCTCCGTCTTCTTCGCTCCAGGTATGAACAACCGCGAGGTGCTGGAGCAGGTGGAGCGAGGCTACCGAATGCCGTGCCCGCAGGACTGCCCCCCCTCCCTGCACGAGCTGATGGTGCAGTGCTGGAAGAAGGACCCGGAGGAGAGGCCTACCTTTGAGTACCTGCAGGCCTTTTTGGAGGACTACTTCACCGCCACTGAGCCTCAGTACCAGCCGGGGGATAACCTCTAAACCGCCGCCCTCGCCTCATGTTGTTTCCTCTACCGACCACCAGAGGGAGCCAATCTCCACCGAATCGCTCTCATCCCGCGGCTGTAACAATTTAAAGCTCGTTGACTGGCTTCGCGACCTCCAAGCTTCTTACAAACTGGGACAACTGCTGTTTTGACAGTGTACTGACTATCGAATCAAAGGATGATTTGGAAGTGGGACGGGGCGCTGAGATAACGGAGGAGTTAAAGATGACTGGTATAACTTGTATGTAGTGTAAATACAATTGCTTGTCTACTTATCCCTTTTATTTGTTTCATTTTATATTACTTTTGATATTTTGGAAACGTGTGGATTTTCATCTTTTTTTTAAATTCCGAGGTCAAAGTTATTTCAGATTTACGCCGCGTAGAGAAACGTGAGGCTCACAGATAACCGTGACATAGTAATTGTAGGAATGGTAAGAGTTAAATACACCTAGAACCGAAGCATCTCAGAAATCTTTCTGGGTGTCCACTAACCCTTTTTTTACCAGGTGACCATAAGGATTCTGCTCTCCCTTTCTCAAGGAACTTAGATGTACTATTAACACCTGTTCTTGCCTTTTAATGTTTATTGATATTCTTATACTGTTAGGGAATGCCTTCATGCTATCTAACTCTAACTTAGTGCTTCATGGACTCTTCCACCCAAACGTGTATGGCATCTGCACTAATAGGTGCACTCATCCCATTTCAGCTGCTGCCAATGAGTCCTAGATCGGCTTAAAAGTGACTTTTAGTTCAGCGCCTTGTAGTTGAAAAGCAGGCTTCCGCTCTCTTCAATTGCAATTATTGTTCGGCTGATTGCTTATTATAATGGCAGTATTTAAAAATGTGTGTTGCATTATTGTAAGGCATAAGTGTAAGAATTTGTGTCTTTTCTCTTGAGCAGCCAAACAACAAACAAACTGCCACTTGACTGGGAAGAAGGAAGTTATCTGTGTTTGTCCCTCAATAATGTGTATCTGGAAATAAAATGTTTACGAGACCAAACATATTATTTTGCTAAACATTTTCTAAACCTGTCGTTAAGAATACAGAATTCTGTGATTACTTTTTTTTTTTTTCCCACAGAGAAATCTGCAGCTTTGGATGATATTAAATCATCCTCAAGCGTCAAACTTCCTACTGTGTGCATTCCAGGACGATACGCTATTTCTACGCGTATTTAAGTTGCTTTTTACTGGTGGAAAAAGAAAAAGGTTTTATATCATTTTTTTGCCTTGATTCAGTAGATAAACAGAACATCTTTTGGTCTCTACATTATTTATTGTCTCTGTCTGTTATTGTACACTTCTTGGTTTGGTTTTGAAATAAACAATCTTTCCCCCACCGTCCTGTTTACTCACTTCAAAGAATTTGCACTGAACACTTCTCAGTAAGGTTTAAAAGTTTCTTAATGACTTTCAGGCACGAGAGTGATCGAGTCTCTGTGGTTTCACCTCAGGCTTAAACCCGTCACGCCGGCTGTATTTATGAGACATGACAAGACAAGAGTCGACAGGATAGGTGCGCAATCTTTAAATGGTTTTTCATTGCACATCTTTTGCATCTTGGTTTCAGCAACATTTTTTTGAATAAAGCCTTGTTAGTCATTTGAGAGTACAGCTTAATTGTTGCTTGTTTACTTGCTATTTCAGAGCAATACTTATGAATCATTTTAACGATCCTTTTTTCGGAACAGTAAAGTCCAGGAACAAGCCTCCACTTTTGAATAGTATGTGTAAATTATCCTTCCCAGCCAATATGTCTGAACATATTCTTCTGCCTCTGATTGGATGCAGTTAAGAAGTGAAGAATTTGCATATAGCACGTTCAGCTATTTGAGGCTGTGCGCATTGACGCCCTTGCAGGCGCAGGAGTGTGTAGAATCCAGCCGAAGACCGGTATGTCATTACTCTGCTCTTTTCAGACTCCTAGTACGTACAAAAGACAATTCATGTAAGATAATGTTTCCATGGCATATTCTGTATACATTGACTACATGTGAAATTATTAGTGCTAATGTACCTGCAATTTTGTTTGACCTGTAACAATATTCTTCTTCTTCTTGTTTGTTACTTGCAGGACTTCATTCTATTGGGAGGTAACCTGGTTAAGATGGAGGAATCTGAAAAAGGACCAGATCTAAAATTGTTTTCCACCACGAATAACTCCAATCAAGTCACAGTAAACCAAATATTTCATGCCAATCTGCATTATGATAGATTCCTACCGACCTGTTACATGAGTGCAGATAATTTCTACCCAAAAATACCACATAGCGGTGAACAAGTGAGCCAAGAGGGTCGGAGTCAGCCGGCTCCTGATGAACTGCATGTGGAGCCGACGGCGACCATTATGTATCTCAATCATCACCCTCGTCTTACAGAGACGTGGGAGGGAAACACAAGAGGAGAGAGTTCCTGTTGGAGCGGTGGACCTGACAGGTGTGTAACTACGGGGCCTGCAGGCAGAAAATAAGGGTCATCTCTGAGTCAGGAAATCTGTCAAAGAATAGAATATAACCTGAATTAATCAGGGATTATATCATTCATCTATTTTCATTCTTTTATTTCAAGGGCTGACGGAAACACTTCTCATCTTCAAAGTGATGAGGAGGATCTTGAGCCTCCCTTGCCCCTGAGATCTGTGGACGAGGTGCCAAACTACAGACCCCTTCCACCTCCTCACCATCACATGAAAAACTACGGTGAGAAAAAAATGTTGTTCAATGTTGTTTTCATGGAAAGGAGCCAAAAACTATTTAACTATTTTCCCGCCTTCATCGTGTGGTTAAACTATTTCCACAGACCTCCATCGCGTTATGGAGGCCAGATATTATCACTCTGCAGGAGGAGTGCAGAACAACAACCCCGGCCCCCTCAACGCGTACCCTCCTCAGCTACGTCACCACTGTGCTTCCTGCCCCCACAGGGACGGTACACAACACTGGTACGAGTGTTTGACTTTAAAGGCACTTTCCAGTTACACAATCGGTTAAAAAAAAAGGAATTTATCTGTGCAGTGCTTTTGTAACCTTACTTAGAACACAAGTTGCTAAAGTTCTTTCGAGCTCAGTATTAACGCTTGTGAGGAAACGCAGTGAACCAGGTGCTCCGACCACGTTGCGCGTCACGCGTGAGCCTTTTGCTTATTTTTCTTTGACGTGGCCTTCAGGCCTGGACGTGGCGACTACAGCCTGGCTCGGGGAAATGTTTCAGTCAACGTGCCCCAGTTTTCCGCCCCCCCCCTGGAGGGTGCGGCACAGGTCAACGTGATGAACTCAGAGGCGTCTTTCTCACATCCTTACGAGAGAAGAAGAACCGTCAGTCTGCCCGATGAGTGTCGTGAGTCCCTTTTATGCTCTTAAACCAACACATTTAACACACAGTAAGCGCAAGTGAATAAAGACAATAAACGTTAAAATATACCTGTTAAAAATAACTATTTTTCATTTGTTATTTTTCTTTTCTTATTTTTTTGTTCTTTAAGTTAAGTTATACAAAACAATTACTAACATATTACGATTCTTTTAGGAAAATTACAAGTAGTCTGCTGCCTCTGTCTGTTTTCTGACCCTAATCTGCAGACAGCGTGTAATACTAAAAAAAATAATAAGAATTGACCCACTAAACAATTCCATCTTTTAAAAATGCATTATGGGAATGTCAATGTAGCTAATATGTAGCTAAAAGGCATAGTATAGATAAAGAATAGTAGAGCAATTCGTAAAAATGGTAAAGGTCACCAAACAAAGCAAGTATAAATCAAGTATAGTATGTCACTTAAATGTCAGAAAAAGTATGAGTAGGATCATATTTCAATGATTTTGAAGAAATAACTGTGCAGGACTTTTTGATTTCTTATTTCTTATTATAGTATTTGCAGGTAACCAGTGCACTTGCAGGTGGTAGGATGATTAATGGTGGACTTGTAGGTGTCTTTATAAACCTGTCTGGCCTGTTTTCCGCCTCGCTAAAAGAAACTTGTTCAATTGTCAAACAACATATACGCTTAATTGTTATCTTGGTTGTTTATGTGTGAGGTGAGCAAAGTTAAACTACAGTTTATTTTTTCTCATATTTGATTCATTGTATGCTCTATAGAAACCAACCGGTTATCCCAGTGTGTATTTATGTTGCTCAGTGTGTTTAAAGAGCAAAAAAAACCTTCCCTCAACACTTACTTTTGATCTAATTTAGATTCTCCACTATTCATGAGATTTCCTTTTTCTTTACAAAACACAATAAAAACACACAATAAAAGGAAAATCTGTCTGATAATCCAAAAGCACCCAGACACCCCATTCTGTGCAAATGATTCTTATTGAAATTGTTTCAGATGAATTGAATGAATTTCATGGTTATTTGTGAGGGTGTGGTTTGTTATATTGTGTTGCATTGTGTTGATGTTTCTTTCACAGTAAATCAGTATATGGACCAAACTAGTAATGCATGTATCTTAATGACATACCTATATTTTTTACAAAAGAATCTCATTTAGTTTAGCTTTGGTAGTATGTAATCAGGGCTCTTCTTTTGCATTAATATGCATACAGGTTACTAATTAACTAAAAGGATTCATTCTGAGATTCATTTGGATTTTTTGATCTCTTCTCTTCTCAGGAAACGTTTTTGTAACGTATTCTTTGGACGTTTCCTCGGAGATCGTCCCCTTTGGAGACTTCCTCACAAAGCAGGGTTTCCGACCAGTGAGCTCATATCTCTTCCTTCAAAAGTCAGTCAAACAACACTCGACAGTTCACTTAAAGCCGTGAATTCAATTTTACAGATTTACATTTTTGACGACCACATCGGAGGTATGGATATCAACAAGTGGGTGGATGGTTACTTGAAAGATGTAAGTTTAACTACAATTATAACCTGATTTTACAAACATTTTTGTATTGTTGTTGCTACATTGTCAAAAAGAAATCTTTGTAAGCAATATTACCACCTAATCAATGACTGAGAATACAGGATATGACTAAATGTTTTTGGTCTGTTTTATTTTGATTTATTCTTCTTATAGACAGAGAATTTGTGTGTGTGTGTGTGTGTGTGTGTGTGTGTGTGTGTGTGTGTTTTTAACAGCCATCCAGCATGATTGTCATCGCCATCAGTCCAAAGTACAAGGCGGACATTGAAGGATCCGTCATGGATAGCCATGGTTTACACACTAAATATATTCACTCCACGGTGAGAATATACTTTTTGAATTAGAAAGGACTCTGACAATAATTGCTTACATGTACGAGAATGTTTAATCAAATTTTTACAGATACAGCATGAATTCATCCACCAAGGCAGCTTGAATTTTAGATTCATACCGCTTCTCTTCCCCAATGCCTCACAGGTCAGACAGGTTTTCTGTTTAATACTTTCAGGGCAAGCGGTTACTTTATCTTACCACCATTGATGTACATGAAACCTTCCTTAAACATTTTCGCATGTGTGTTCTTCACACAGGAACATGTTCCACGTTGGCTTCAGAACACGCGTGTTTACCGCTGGCCGCAGGACTCCGAGGATTTGTTACTGCGGCTCCTCAAGGAGGAGCGATTCATTCCTCCTCCTGTTCCTCCGGAGCTCACCCTCAGCATCCGACCTGTGACCCTCACAAGTGTGTAAAGACACACCTGCACTGTTTTGATGTGTCTTTTATATTGCGTCTTCTGCAACTTGCGTATTTTAAACTTTAAACAAGAATGACCGATACATTAAAATGACCACAGAGAGTAAATTCTGATTTGTCAATTATAAAACTCCACGGATTAAGAAACCTTTGCTATGGACAAAGTTTTGATCTTGCATTCAGCAAGACCATTTTCCATGGAAACAATCAAATAATACAAAAATCAATCTAATTTGAAATGCAATGTTTTATTTTACAGTTTTGATTCATTTAATAGGTAGCTCTAAAATAAGTAAATCATAAAAACATGCTATTGGATGTCAATCAAATGTAAAAGAAAAAAGGCATTAGACTGTTGGTAATTTGCTTTTAATGGGTTGAGAGCGAATGACTAATTTAATTGTTAATTAGAGTAAAAACCTGCTGGAAGAAACTGTGATTGTGTCTTGTTGTTTTGGCAAAGTCATAGATGGTATGCCATAAAAGGTTCTTATGGTAAATCATGAACTGTAATAAAAAATCTATAAATTAATAAAAAGTGATATGTGATAAAAAAAAAAAAGGCATAGTATAGTGCGTCATGAGAAATCACCATATTGAATGTCATTAAAGTCATAGTAAAGTATACAGTAAATGTATTTAGAAGTCATTCTATAGCATATCATCAAAATGTCAAAAAGTCTGAATTGTATATTGTATGAATGGTAAATGATGATATAATAGAATATCAGAGTCATAGTAGCCTTTATTATGTCATTAAAATGTCATAAAGAGTATAGTGCGTCATAAGGGGGCCTTGTTCAGCTGACTGACCACACTCACACAACGCTTCAACCGCCAAAAAAGGGCCGCCGGAGCGACTGGTGTGCAGAGCCCCAGCTAAGAATATCCTGGAACCTTCTCCCGGATACAGTTACCTTGAAGCTTCCCGTGCTGTGCTCTGAACTATACCCATGTGAGGCACCAATAACACTGGGGGGTATTCTGTCACAGCCCCCTCTGCGATGCTGCCACACGGGCAGCTCCAAAGTCTTACAATTCAAGTGTGATTTTCATTTTTTATTTTTTTTTTATCTTGGAGAAGTTCAACCTGTGTATTACACACATCAGGAAAGAAGATTGTGGTGCCCAAGTGGAAATGGAATAATTGACTTTGTCACGTAATAACTGGATGCTGACTGGACTCCAACTGAAGCTGTGATTTTCCGTTCACTTTTGCATGAGGAGGCTTTGCTCCAAATATCAAGGATTATAGCTGAAATTGTCTCCATAATACCATGGCGGAAGGTAGGACTACCTACATTAGGACATCATTATTATTATTATTATTATTATATAACTGAACTGAAAGCATCTATGAGCTGTGCAGTAAATAAAGGGCAATGTCTCGGGGGAAACGTGTTGAAAGTTGGTTGCTATAAATACCGGATATCGTGTAGCCAGAGCATTAAGCGTTCCTCTCCTGTGACAGACGGGACTGCTGCTGGGGCTGACCTCTGGTTTCCAACTATCCTTTTGCCATTTAATTAATAGGCCAATACTTTTTTTTTTTTGCAAAGGCGCCATGCCAGTCAACACATTTTATTTGATCACAGATGAGATTTCATGTATCGTGGTTTGACTGCAGTTTGTAGAAATGAAACTGGAGAAGTGGCTATAGAAGGACGTTATTATAGTAAATATGCCACAGGGAATTCCTCAGTGATATTCAAAGTATAATGTACACCAAGAACTGCTAATATGTATGTTATGTTTATTTTTTATCAACAGTATTAGTTACTAAACCATGTGCTTAATAATAGGCCCTAAAAATCAATTTTCTCAATCAATGTATTTCTATGAGCAATGTGGTTATTTGTTCTGTTGCAGTCAATATTTGTTTCTTTCATTCATTTCTCACTGACAAGAAATGGTTTGAGTTCAAGTCGGAAAAGTTGTGTATTTCTGCACAACAACCAGAGATCGGAAACCTGCTGACAAGTTGTTGGGGTTTTGGGTTTGGGGTCATACAACCATTCACACTCACATTCACACATCTACGGGCAATTTAGAGTCCCCAATCAACCTGATCTCCAGAGCATGTCTTTGGACTGTGGGAGGAAGCCGGAGAACCCGGAGAGAACCCACGCAGACACAGACTCCACACAGAAAGGCCACTGGGCGGAGTCCACCCAGGACCTTCTCGCTGTGAGGCGGCGGTGCTAACCACCACGCCACCGTGCCGCCCTGATGAACAAAAACAATGTTTTACTATTAAGACTCATTATTTATCATAATTCACCATTATATTTAATGATTCATTCATGCATATTTTACTGTAACAAGTAATATGTAAAATCCACAACTTTAAAAAGAATTGAAATGAGTTTTGTTTTTTTTACAGATCCATATCTTTCTGTAAACTGACTAGTAATGTTGATCTAAAAAATAAAGAGACAGATAACATATGATGTCCCAGACTGACCAACTATGTTTGTTTGTTTAATTTATTTTTTTATTTTTTTTATCTCTGGCTCTATAGTTAAAAAAATGTACAGCCCCAAGAAATGAAGGTGTATGGTTGAAATAGCACCGAAAACAAGTTCATATAAATACCTGCATGCCACTGTTCATTTGTTATTTGTTTTCAGTGAAAACGGGTTCGATCCTTTAAAGTAAACATTACAAAAATTGAATAAATTACCAATAAAGTTTCTGCTTGTTCCAATCTAGCAGAGGACGAATCGGCAAAAGTTGTAGACAACATCACTGCATGGATGATGTCTCCTGAGTGACTGAAGTATCTCTTTGCTCTTTTTTTCCACACGAAGGAGCTGCCTCCTCCTCCTCCTCCACAGCCAGTGGGTCCAGTGGAGCAGCTCCACCACAGACGATCCCCGTCAAGTCCAAAGGTCTGGGCCTCCTCGGGAAGCTGAAAGTGTCCGCGGAGCTGCTGGTGGCTCTGGCTGCTCTCCTGTCCTGGGTGGTGGTCGGAGTAGTGATGTTTGACTTTGTGGAGTACAAGGCAGTCCCTGGTACGTCACCGATGCATCTTTAGCATTAGTATCCCAATCATCAAACCAATCACCAATCATCACTAATCCTGTTATTGATCTCAGACATTCAGCAAATCGTTTCGGACCCCATTGGAGCTGTAAACGACGCCGTCGAGGAAGCATCCAGTCTACTCAATAAGTTTCAGGGTGCGTGAGAGAGACAGCGTGCATGCATGCTACTCCTTTTCACAGTGTAAAAGCTGCGAGTGAAATGTAAGACTTCTTCTATCCCCAGAATGTGCACCCGATTTAAGTGACCCCACGTCCGCTGCCACCTACGTAGCTAAAGAAATATCTGATGCAAAAGATGGATTTGTTCGCTATTTTTCCGATGAGGAAGGTAGGAAAATACCTTCAGACTACTCAAAGTATCAACGTTTCTTCCATTTTAGTATACATGTGCTGTGACAATGGCTGTAATCATTTTCCTCCAGGGAACTTCTACCTCAGCTATGTTGACCCTGTGATCATCGGTAGACAAGCTTTCCATTCGACCAATGACTTAATGCGTGGAGTCGTGGGCACCTTCAAGGACACATTGTGCGCCATTGTAGACGCCGCATTAAATACTATATCGGATGTAAATAAAGGTGCGTATTCCATATTTAATACTTGTGACAGAGGAATTTGTATGTCTTCCCTTCTTTATTCACAACAAATAAACCGATAATAAACTAATAATTAATACATTTTTCCCTCGCATGTTTTTCTCAGGAGAAGTTGACCTTAGCTGCATTGACCCTGTGGTCGTAGGCCGAGGTGTCTTCAATGTTACTAATGGGTTTGTGTGTGGAGTGGGGAGCTACATCCGGGATGTGCTGTGTGCCCTTCTGGACACAATTCTGGATGTAGTGAAAGGTATTCACGGTCCTCGTTTACCATCCCTCTAATCTGTAACATCTTAGATATCAAAAAGACAACGTTTTTAAACAGCATACGTATTCGTCTTCATTAGATTTCCACTGTTTTTCCTCAGGAACCTCAGGAACCGTGGATACTCCCTCCGTGGACCCTGTTGTAGTTGGCAGAAATGTCTTCAGTCTTACAAATGACACCGTGAGTAGACTAGTGGGCTACATCCAGGACGTACTCTGTGCCATCGTAGACAGTGTGCTGGATTTAACTAAAGGTACTTCTATTGTATTTTTATCACAACACAACACAATGTCTGGAATGTTGCATTTTTATTTGTTGCCTGAATTCCTTAATCCTTAATCAATATTATCTCACGGTAACTGTTAGCTTGTGTTTGGGGTGGATATGTAGTGTTACTATTTTTGTATTAATAATTGTTCATTACTGGCGGATAAGGTATTTTTCCCATTGGTCTCTGACTGTCTAAATGTCTGTGTAACAAACAGGGTTTGAATTTGTTGAATTAAGTGACACACTGGAACTTTTTGGCTTGAATGCGCCTTTGTTCTTCTCAGGAACCACCGACACAAGCTTCATGGACCCTGTGGTTGTTGGTAGAAATGTCTTCTGTGTTACTAATGACTTTCTGAGTGGAATAGCCGGATACATCCAGGATGTGCTCTCTGCCGCCTTGGACGTGATACTGGACACAGTAAAATGTACGTCTTATGATCTACTGTGTTTGCCAATACAATGCACTCTTCTGTGTATTTGCTAACGTTTGACCTTTTTACCTTTCTGTTTATCAGATCTGCAGCATGCTGTGGGATTCAGCCCGACGTCAGCTCTAAAGAGAACAGCAGAAATCAGCACAGAGCAGATGAACACGCTTGTGAGCTACGTCTCCACGCTGATTGGTCAACAAGGTCTCGTAATATTTTTAACGCATGTTGACTATTGCTAGTTGTTCACTGTTATTACTCAAATTAACATATGGTAATGGTAATTTAAGTTACGTAATCAAAAGATGCATTTTTTATAGTGTTACAAAGAGCATTTTTGACTGACTGTTCCAATATTTCAGACATCATGCCAGAAGTTTCCATTGACCCCATGAAAGTGGTTGAAGATGCTCTGTTGGAGGCCTCGGACAAGAAAGATTTGTTCGTGGCTTACATGTCGAGCATGCTTGTTGCTGATCGAGGTATAATTGTTTGTATCAGTCAAATACTGTAATAATAAATAAGTTATATAGTGACACATTTGTCATATATTTATTATATATAGCAATACAAAATCTATTGAAGCCTTGACTTTTTCTTCTCTTTTTTAGGAGAACCTGTTGTAAATGTAGTATCTGAAAAAGGTTTCACTTTTTTAAAGTTTTTTCACCTACAAGTATTTTACTAAATACTACCAGCACAACATGTCTATTTGTTCTCTTTGTTTAGATGAAGCTGTAGCTCTCCCATCTAATTTGAATATGTTACGAAGAAAAGGTGAGTGATAGAAGATTTATCCTTTTTCCTCACTAAAATAATTTCTTCAAAACTAAGCAATTTTCTTCAATTACCATATTTTCTTTGAAATTTAGGAGAATTTCTTCCGTCTTTGGGAAAAGGTAAGAAATACAAACATGCACTATAATGTTTTGTTGGGAAATATGATATGTGTGTTGCCAGCAAATAGGTGCCCTACATGCATGTTTGCATAGATTTTTGTTTTTCTCTGTTTGTGAATTGTTCTCAAATGTAGCAATTGCCTGAAATAGGATGAAATTGTATGTTAATCTTGTTCCAATAAATTCTGTTTTGGACTTTAACAACCGTGCGTCATTTCTAACTACTGTACACTTGTGATAAATGTCTTTACAGTTTTGGTGACTGCATCGCTCTCTGTTTGTCACTCGTACCGTTTGTTGGATTTAACATTTCATGGAACTCTGCATTTGTGTGTTTTGGCCTCAAACCAATTTTGTTCAAGTTATGTTTTGTGTGCTATATTTTGCATTCCAACGACTTACTGACCAACTGTAACCTGTATTCATTTAAACATCATTGATATACTGCATGTGTTTATGAATGTAAATGTAAGGTTTGTATTGGATGAGGTGTTTTTGCCTGGAATATTTCATTTAACATTTTAGTCGTTTGATCTAAACCACTGTTCAAAACGCAGCCTTCAATATAGTATTTTATTTTATTGTGGTAATAATAGTAGTGTGGGACGAAAAAAAGGTAGTCCGGTTATAGTCTATATTTAGTATTTTTGTTAAAAAATCCTAAAAAAATACAAAAAACAATTCATAAAACTAACAAGTTTTGCCTGTAGCCAAAATATGTTCACAAATGTAGAGAAACGTGCTAAAAGAACCCATAATGCGACCGTCTTCCCAATAGCATTTATTTATTTTTAAGTGATCAGGTACATGTGCAATTATTAATGTATGACTAGTACTCATTCCTACGGTAGACGACTTCTGTCCAAAAACTAGTAAAACCCATCAGCCACTAATAATATTCCCCATTAAATGCACATCTACAGTAGAAATGTCAAAAAGTATTGACGCACAAACCCCACTTCTCACAATGTGTTGGCAGTGAGCTAATTTAAATGATACAAGCAAATTGTGAATGTAATTAACTGCGGCATACGGTGTGTACAATAAAATGTTATGAATGGCCACTGTTGCAATCATTTCACCCCATCTTTTGTGCTTGAGAATACGTTTGGTACTGCTTCCCCAACGGTGACGGTCAGATAAGACAGGTCTCATGGGTTGATGGTACAGTTACAGAGATCATGCAAGCTGCCAAAGATGCTGCTGCTGCTTCTGCTGCTGAAGCCCCAGACTCAAAGATCAAGGAGGAGGATGGAGACGTTTCCACTGAAGCTGCCTACGAAGTGGACGTGGAGGAGGAGGAGGATGGTATTCATCATTTCTTTCCCTAGTCACATTTATTAGTCTGATACAAGATCGATAACAGGCACTTAATCTGTTACTATCACGTCACTAGTGAAACATATCAACCTTGAAGAAACAGAACATGAACCACCAGCCATCAATGAAGGAGACAAGGTCGACAGAGAGGAGGAGGAACATGAGGAGATTCAAACAGAGGAGGATGCGATTTATGAGGCGGAAGAAACAGAGGATGCTGAAGGAGAAGAAGGTGGAGATATTATTAAAACAGCCACTGAAGAAGAACAAGTAGATGAACCAAGTGAGGAGCAGGAAGAGGAGATCAAAGTTGAAGATGTTTTGGCGAAAGAGGAGAAGGAAACACATACAGAAGAGGATGCATTAAAAAAAGATTTGGTAGTGGAAGTGGAGGAGGAGACCATATCTGAAGACATTTTGGTAAAAGAGAGGGAGGAGGACGAAGAGGAGGAGGAGGAGAAAAAAACTGAAGATGTTTTCGTAGACGATGGTGAGGAAGAAGACGACAGAAAAACTGAAGTGGAAGTTGAGGAGGTGGAGGATACTAACATTGAAGAACACACCATAGAAGATGATGAGGAGACAAAAACAGGACTTCTGGTAGAGGAGGAGGAGGAAGTGGTGGTGTTGGTGGTGCAGGAGGTCAAGCATGAGGAGGACGGGGAGGTACAAAATGAAGAGATTTTAGTAGAAGATGGTGAGGAAGAAGAGGAGAGTAAAACTGAAGTGGAAGTGGAGGAGACTATAATGGAGGAACATGCAGGAGAGGATGAAACAAATATAGAACTTGTGGCAGAATTAGAGGAGGAGGAGGAGGAGGAAGAGGAGGAGGACGACGTGTTGATAGGAGATGGTGAGGAAGAGAAGGAGACAAAAACAGAAGATGCAGTTGAATATTTGGAAGACAATAAAGAGGAGGAGGAGGAAGACGGCGAGGACGAAGAGACAACAACAGAACTTGTAATTGAAAACGAGGAGGAGACCGAATCTGAAGAAGATTTGGCAGAGGCTGGGATAGATGATGAGAAAAAAACAGTAGAAGTTCAAGTAAAATCATTGGAAGATTTTGATGAGGAGGAGAACGAAGATGAAGATCTTCGTGTTGATGAAGGAAGCGACAAAGAAATAAATGAAATTACTGATATCAACGATCAGCTTTCTAAAACTAACCAGGAACTAGGAGCTTTAGATGCTGAAGATAAAAAGAATTTAGAGGAGGAGGAAGCAGAAGAACCGTTCAGAGTGGAGACGACGGAAGTGGACAAAGGAGATGAAGAAGAAGAGCCATCTGCCCAACGTCTTGATTTTGAAATTATATCATCTAAAACACCAAATAATGCAGGTGTCATACCCGAATCCAACAACGTTATAGAAGAGGAAACAACAGTCAATGAATACTCTGACATCATCAACGAACGTGATGAAAACAATGATGAGATTGAAAGCGTGAAATCTGAATCTGAACAAAAAAGGGAGGTTCATGTTCCCTTTGAGAGACTGAGAAGAGTCGGCTCCAGAGCTGCTCACAAAGAGGAACACCTTCACAAACGTGGGAAAGGTACAGCGCTTTTATCACTATCATCTCATCTATTTCATCCTTTTTTTCATTATCAAGCAATGCGAATGTTTCTGGAACGTGAGTGTGGGTATTTATTTTTCTTTATTGTCTTTGCAATGTGACAAAAGTTATAAGGGACCAATAAGATGTTTGTTGAATGTAATAATTGTAATACTTGCATGTGAGTGAGAGATTAATATTTTTTAGAAAATATTCTAGATGAACAAAGTACAAACTGTTAATGTAATGCGGCATACTTATAATGGGGCAAAAATGTAGACAAGAATAGGCTATAAAATACAGGTTGAAGTATCCATAGTTGAGTTTAAAAACCCGCTCAGACACATCTTAACATCTGTGTTGACCAAGAGCAAAAATCAACTCATATCCTTACATTGTCTGTACTAGCAAAGCCTCTAAATTTAGCTTTGTGTTTAATCTGCACATTTAGGCGGTAGGACCCGGATGGCTCTGTGATCATGATAAGCTCCACTTTCATGAGGGAAACAAGGTTGCCGTTGCCACTTATACCTCATGCATGGCTTCTGGTCCCATTCTAGAAAATGTTGATTTCTCTGCAAATCTTTGTACTTTGTACATTCCATCCTTCTTCTCCTCATCTGACTACACGAAAGAGGAGCATATTTCACAATGACATGGTGTGTTTAAATATACTCATCGTGACAGGTGTGAATAGCGGCGCCAAAAGAGAATCTTAAGCTGGGATCTTGTTTTTTTTCGTGACTCAGAAAAGGCCCATCTATTTTCAAAGGTGCTAACAGGGTTCCTGCTTTAGACCAAACAGCCGTTGCATTAGGCAGAGCGCCAGCAGTGCAGACGGCAGCTAGATGGAGCTAACAGGCTGAGGAAGGGATTCTGGATCAGGACAGTAAATAGCATTTGTATGTATTAGATGATATAGAGTTATATATCAATAATATATTACTGAATAACTAACTATTGTGACTTACTGTCACTGACTAATCTCTTCACTCCAGCTATCAAATGTAGGCTTTAACGTTATGATGCTTTATTGCGGTGTGTTTTTCATCAGTGCTTTTAGCCTTATAGTGCTGATATGAAAGCAAGTTCACCTGTTATGTCACTACGAATACGCCTGGGCTGAGAATATGCAGAGTGATTTCTGGTCAGACTACGCTGTCAATTGTTCTGTTTACTTTTATATATCTCTTCATGATGTAATGTAGTTCTCAAAGCGGCAAAGGAAAGACGAAAAGAAGTTAAAGACGCCATTATCAAAGGTAACACTTTGAAATTCTGCACTTTTTTATATTACTTACTCTCAATATACATTTTATATTTCTTAAAGTTTTCATATTGTGCATTAATTTGGTAGCCTATCTAGTAAAAAACAAGAATGTAATGAATGCATAGAAACACCTGATACGTGAAAGAAGATGTATTGTTGATTACAGACCTCGAGGAGGAGAAAAAAGAGGGAGCCAAACTTGAGGAAATCATTGAAAAGAAACCAAAAGAAGAAAAGCTAAAGGAAGAGGCTAAACCATTTGAGAAGAAACCACTGAAGCACAAAGGTAATTAAACATATTGATGAAAATAGAAAAATACTGCACAAAATAACAAAAACAAGGTTGTTAACTTCTGTAGATCATAATGTACAAAAAATATGGAGATCAGATGATGTATTTTTTTAATTGTAACATATTTCAGTACTAATAGGAGTTAATGCTAACGGTGGTTAGCCGTTACAAGTCTGTAACTGATGACAATTTGATGATTACTTTTAGAAGAAGAGACTAAAAAGAAGGAAGAACCCAATAAACCACCTAAAGGAGAGAAAAGAGTGAAGCATACTAAGGAGGAGAAAGAAACAAAACAGGTGACAGAAGCGAAGAAAACCAATAAAACAGAAAGACGCCAAGAAACCATCTAAAACAGAACAAGATGTCATGAAACCATCCACTGGAGTCAAGAAACCACTAAAAGAAGACAAAGTAGTCAAGCTACTACTTAAAGAAGAGAAAGAGGTTCAGAAAGAAACTAAAGCAGAGAAAGAGGAAAAGAAATCATTAAAAGGAGTCAAAAAAATACCTCAAGATGAGAAAGAGGAAAGGGAAGTTAAGAAAGCATCTATAGAGGAGAGAGAAGTCGAGAAACCATCTCAAGGTGAGAAGGAGGTCAAGAAACTACATGAAGAAGAGAAAGAAGTCAGGAAACCAATTCAAGAAAAGGAAGCAGTAAAGAAATCATCTCACAAAGTGAAAGAAGTCCAGAAACAAACTCAAGCAGAGAAAAACATCAAGAAACCATCTAGAGAAGAGAGGTATGTGAAGAAAAACGACAAAAAAGAAGTGAAGAAACCACCTATAGAGGAGAAAGAGATCACGAAAGCATCTCCAGAAGTGAAAGAGATCAAGAAACCATCTGAAGAACAGACAGAGGTCAAGAAGACTAGACAAGAAACACAATACAAGAAAGAAGAGAAAGAAGTCACAAAAGCATTTGAGGAAGAGAGAGAAGTCAAGAGACTATCAAGAAAAGATAATAATGTTGAGAAACCATCTGAAGAAGAAAAAGAAGTCATAAAAATCCCTGGACAAGAGAAACAAGTCAGGAAACCAATTGCAGAAAAGAAAGAGGTAAATATATCATCTCAAGAAGAGAAGGAACCTCAAAAACCAACTCAGGCCCTGAAGAAAGTCAAGAAACGATCGAAAGAACAGACGACGGTCACGAAACACACTAGACAAGAAAAACAATGCAATAAACCCACTCGAGTTGAGAAAGTAGTTGAAAAAAAACCTGAAGAGGAGAAAGAAGTCACAAAACCACGTGAAGAGAGCAAAGTCAAGACACCATCCAGAGAGGAGAAAAGAGTCAAGACGCCACTAAAAGAAGAGAAACAAATCAAGAAAACATCTAAAGAGGAGAAACCATTCAGGGAAACTTCTAAAGAAGAGAAAGAGGGCAAGAAAACACCTAAAGAACTGAAAAAAGTCAAGATTCCACACAGAGACGTGACAAACGTAACAAAACCACTTCAAGAAGCAGTCAAGAAACATTCAACAGAAGAAAAACAAGTCAAGACACCACCCAAAGAAAAGGAAGACGTCAAGACACCACCCAAAGAGGAGAAAGAGGTCAAGACACCACATAAACAGAAGAAAGGAGCCAAGACACCACCCCAAAGAGGAGAAAGAGCTCAAGACTCCACCCAAAGAGGAGAAAAAGAGTCAAGATTCCACACAAAGATGTGACAAACGTAACAAAACCACTTCAAGAAGAAATCAAGAAACATTCAACAGAAGAAAACCAAGTCAAGACACCATCTAATGAGGAGAAAGAAGTCAAGACACCACCCAAAGAGGAGAAAGCAGACAAGAAACCACTTAAAAGAAAAGCAAGAGGTCAAGACACCACCCAGAGAGGAGAAAGAGGTCAAGACACCATCTAAAGAGGAGAAAGAAGTCAAGACACCACTTAAAGAGGAGATAGAGGTCAAGACACTACCTAAAGGAAGGAAAGAAGTCAAGACTCTACCTAAAGTGGAGAAAGAAGTCAAGACATCACCCAAAGAGGAGAAAGAAGACAAGAAACCACTTAAAGAAAAGAATGAGGTCAAGACTCCACTCAAAGAGGAGAAAGAGCTCAAGACACCACCTAAAGTAATGAAAGA